ACCAGTGCGTCAGTCTTTAGACCCTGTGTCTGCTTCAGTCGCGCCATCGCTGGAATGAATCTTCAAGAATCACCTTAGTTTGGTTTCGCTGCTTTTCCCCTTGTCTTCTTCTTTCAGCGACCTCAAAAACGGACTTTGTTTTGGGGCTAACTGCTCGTAGATTCTTGTCGCCATTGCAACAAACTTTGTGCTAACTGCGAGGAAGATATAGGTCAAAAAAAGCCGCTAAGAACTGTTGCGTTGGTGGAGTAAACAGCGTCTGTGCGTCTTGCGTCTGTGGACTGCGTGACAGTCGTACGTAAACCACGTACCGGCGGCGCAGGCAAGTCAGTTACACTAGAAACGTAGGGAGTTTGATTGACAGCCTGTCAGCTCACAGATAACGAGGCAGTGTCGTTATCTATTGGCAAATGTTTAGCCCCACCACGTCCAGAGTTGATGAATTTTTATTCTCTTTTTTTTTGGTCATCATAATTACAAGGCTACTGCATCTCTATAATCTATCATTGACAATTTGAAACAAAAAAAAAACAAAAAAATCCTCCATACAACCTTTAATTATGACATTGACATTTTAAGTGAACCTCTCATTAAATTTTATAGAACCCTGCCCACTGTCCGAAATGATGACGATCAAATTTTTGAACGTGAACTCCAACCTAATGGAAAATCCTCGAAAATAGCCAGAAATGTACCTAAATGTAAAAAACTACACACTGCAAAATCAAAGACTACTCAAACAGGTATCTCTCTCCAGATTTGTGTGATAAAGAAGTATGATAAAGTGACAAAAGCTCCCAGATGCAGTTTCTAATGAGCTATTAACTTAAAGAGTCTGAAAAGTGAAATGCGTGGGTTCATTAGAGGAGAGGCCGAGACAAAGGATCATAATTATAGATACTGAAAACTGGCTAAGGTCCTGTTTAGTTTGACAGCACAATCCACGGGAGAGGTGCCGAAGACGGTGAAACGGCTCTGAGCTGTTATGGCTAATTATAAAAACACAGACTATTAGAAATATCTGTGTAGTGGCAAAGGCTTGTCACGATAACAGTGACGGTGAGAAGTGTGTTGTGGCAGTGCTGCTGAAGCCCGGGTGTAGTGCTGTGTTTGTGTATGGACGCCACGATGATGATGATTATTATTATTACAACGATACCGACTTTTCATTCACTATAAAGCTGGAATAATATATTTTAGGGCTCAATATTTTCTTTGTAAACGTGGAGAGATTTGGGGTATTTTTGTTTTGAAAGGTCCTATATTACACAAAACAGATTCTTGTGAGTTTTAAGCCTTATTGTAATGACATAAAACATACTCAGAGATATGTTTTGTTCCATTCACACATTTTTTTTTTTGTTTGACTAACCTTTTATTATTAGTCTGTTTACATCTCCAAAGCTCAAAATGCTCCGTTCCAACAAGTTCACAGACAGTGTCGTGGAGTAACAGATTACATGTACCGGAGTACAAATTATGAGTAACTGTATTCAGTTACAGTTACTGTTTCAGTGAGCGGTAATTGGATTACAGTTACTTTGTTGAAATAAATGGATTACGTGGCGGTATTTTCCTGTTTTTACATTTTGGGCGATATCCTTTTTTTATTTATTTTTTGGTAATTCCAGTCATTGCCAGACACAAAATCAGGATTGAACCAGGACTGAACCCAGGTCTAAACCAGGACTAAACCAGATCTAAACTAGATCTAAACTGGGGCTAAACCAGGACTAAACCAGGACTTAATCAGGTCTAAACCAGGACTAAACCAAGTCTAAACCAGGACTAAACCAGGACTTAACCAGTCTAAACCAGGACTAAACCAAGTCTAAACCAGGACTAAACCAGGACTTAAACCAGGTCTAAACCAGGACTAAACCAAGTCTAAACTAAATCTAAACTGGGGCTAAAACCAGGTCTAAACTAGATCTAAACCAGGTCTAAACCAGGACTAAACCAAGTCTAAACTAAATCTAAACTGGGGCTAAAACCAGGTCTAAACTAGATCTAAACCAGGTCTAAACTAGATCTAAACTAGATCTAAACCAGGTCTAAAACAGGACTAAAACAGGATTTAACACGACGAAACCATGCCGCGCGGACCATGTCTCCTCCTCTTCTATTAATACTATTTTTTATTTGTTTAAGTAAAGTCTGGGCTTTTTATTTTCTTTTATCAGACAAAACTTCTTATGTGAAGCTATCCGAGTCTTTGCTTCTCTACAGAAAATCAAGTAATCCAAAGTATTCAGATTACGTTACTCACTTTAAGTAATTTAATGGATTCCGTTACAAACTACATTTTGTTGTATGTCATCTGTAATCTGTAGGGGAATACATTTTAAAAGTCACCTTCCCAACCCTGTTCACAGATACTTTATACCTTTTGTTCAATAGAGACTGGCAATTCCAGGGCGGAAATGATCCAATGTTTCTAGTGAAGGTGTGTGGAGTCTAAAAACACAGTGGACCACAGTGGAGTGTTTCCTGTTTGAGAGAAGAACGGCCTAAATATCCATAGTTTATGTTTTATCTTGTGTTTGATTATGCTTCTGAATTGGTTTTCTGAGGAAGTTGACCAGCGACACCCGAGACACGTCCCCATTTTCTGCGATGGCGCGATTCGGACGTCGGTGGCGGAAAAAGTCGACCGAGCAAGGATTTCGAGTCAGAATCCAAGATGTGACCTGTAAATATGAAGTGTTTTCATTGTGTTTGGACACTTTGGTGGTTTAAAAGACAATTTCAGTCACTTGTATCACTGCAAGACCTTACCCTGTCCGTATCACTGCCTGTGGGTTTGGTAGTCGGTGTTGTGGTGAGGCCAATACTGAACAAATACTTGATTTAACGGGCGATAATGACCCTAAAGTGGTAAAGGAAGAGAATCCGTGTATCATTCGTTCATTCGTTTTTCAATATAAAACCAAAAATAAGAAAACGAAAAAACAACAGTTTTCTTCGTTATTTGTCTCCAAAACCAAAATGAAAAAACGGATAACGATTCGTTTTTTCAGTTTTTGATTTTGTGTTTAAATGAAGAATGGAAAAAACGGATAACGGCCGTTTCCCGTTTACGTGACTTCCGTGACTGCGATGCCGGACTTTTGCACCGGGTACGGACTGAACCGGGACTGATCCAGGTCCGAGACCAGAGCGGGACTGAGACCGGGACCAGAGTGGGACTGAGACCGGGACCAGACCGGGACCAGACCGGACTCCGAGCTTTGACTCCGAGCCTCCACGGGGTCCGAGCCTCAGCTTCGAGCTCCGGCCCTGCCGTGGGCTCTGAGCCTCCGGTCTGGTCCCGGTCTGGTCCTGGTCTTGTCTCGGTCTCGGTCTCAGGCCCGCTCTGGTCCCAGTCTCAGTAGCGCTCTGGTCTCGGTCTGGTCTTGGACCTGGATCCGTCCTGATTCAGTCCATATGCGGTGAGACTGGGACCAGACCGGGACCAGAGCGGGCCTGAGACCGAGACAAGACCAGAACCAGACCGGGACCAGACCGGAGGCTCAGAGCCCACGGCAGGGCCGGAGCTCGAAGCTGAGGCTCGGACCCCGTGGAGGCTCAGAGTCAAAGCTCGGAGTCCGGTCTGGTCCCGGTCTGAGTCCCGGTCTCAGTCCCGCTCTGGTCCCGGTCTGGTCCCGGTCTCAGTCCCGCTCTGGTCTCGGACCTGGATCAGTCCCGGTTCAGTCCGTACCTGGTGCAAAAGTCCGGCATCGCAGTCACGGAAGTCACGTAAACGGGAAACGGCCGTTATCCGTTTTTTCCATTCTTCATTTAAACACAAAATCGAAAACTGAAAAAACGAATCGTTATCCGTTTTTTCATTTTGGTTTTGGAGACAAATAACGAAGAAAACTGTTGTTTTTTCGTTTTCTTATTTTTGGTTTTATATTGAAAAACGAATGAACGAATGATACACGGATTGAAGAGAAATCATAACATAAAATGAAGTGCAAATTTCAAAAATCAAATTAATTAAAGTGGAAGCGTTTTCTTAAAATGAGGGAATAGTCATAGTCATAATCCACGTAATCCGACACGCGAAACATAATAATACCCTTCGAGATCAAACGTGACGTCAAATCCGAGGTCCAAGTGGGAATTGGAAGATAATCAAACGCAGGGTTAAACCAGTAAACTAGTCTTCGTAAATCAACAAATAATGTAAAAGCGAATTGTAAATGTTTTTTTTAAATGGAGCTCTGATGTCACCCACATGTATCCGAGTGGTTTTCATTTGCGAAATTTCTCTAGATTTTTCATATTTTGTGATGCTCTGAAGTTAATCCTGGTTTTTTAAATCACATTATGTTCCACTTTACTTTTGCCTCCAGCCTTGTAGACTTAAGAATGATTTTGTTTACACATGTTTAAAGGGTCTGCTAGTAAATGGAGAGGATAAATCTTTTGAATTGTTTGACCCCTGACCTCTTAGTGGGGAAGCCTCTGTTTAATAAGCCATATACATAATTGAAATGCCCTCCTCTGACATGGACTACGAGTAACTTCACCTTTTGGGAGCAATTATTCAAATATATAGATTATCCAGAAGCTGTTTGTGTCGACATGAGCGATCTGTTTTCATTCCAGATAAAAGGCCAGTGTCTCTCTGCTAATTAAGATTGTTTATTGCATCATTTAACTTGTAGGTCACACAATCCACAGCGACAGTCGGATCAATAAAAGACTCTGTTGGGTGGTTACAATCACTTAAAGAGGACGTGTGCTTCTCGAGGGGCACCTAATACTAAACTAATACATATGGAGATTGTGATTTAACATTTAACACTTCTAACACTTTAAGTAATTTTATAAAAAATTGAAAAGTGGCATTTTTAACTGTCCAGAATTACTCTTGTATGAAATTAACCTCTGTCCATGTTGTTTTTTTATGAGCTTCAGGACAGTGTTGAAAACAAAGCCTTCAGGCAGAGGTGGGACCAAGTCCTTGTTTTGCAAGACTCAAGTAAGTCTCAAGTCTTTGACCTCAAGTCCGAGTCAAGTCCCAAATCAAATACAGGCAAGTCCAAGTCGAGTCTCGAGTCACTGGATCATAAGTCCAAGTCAAGTCCAAGTCGTCTGCTTTGAGCTTCAAGTCATTTCAAGTCTTGAAACCAAAGCTTAGATTTTTGCAATTTATGTGATTTTAAGATAAATTGTTCTTAAAAATCATATATAGTATATTTATATATGAGTATGTAGAGTATATGGGCCCGGTCAAGCAGAAGTAAACTGATTCAAGTCTGACTCGAATCCAAGTCACGACTTGCAAGTCCCCACCTTTGCCTTCAGGGTCTTAGTCAGAGCTGAAGTTATTTTTGTGAACTTTTCTATTCCTACAGGAGGGAAAAGGATGCTTTTCTCTCTCTCATTTAATAAATGAGACCCAGGTTGAACATTTTTCAGTCACAGCTTTTCTCCAATATCAGATAATGTCTGCCAAAGGTCCTATGTGGGCAAAATTGCCTTTTGCTTTAAGCCATGTTAGAATATTACTTCATCAAATTTAGACCTGGACTTGTGTTTTGTTTCATTCACACATGTTTGAATAATCCTTTTATTATTAGTCTGTCTAATCTCCAAAGCTCAAAATGCTCTGTTCCACCTTGTGATGTCATGTAGTGGTAGTTTTCAAGATAAGTTACATTTTACCTTTCGTTCAGTAGAGACTGAAAATTCCTTAGCTGAAGTTATCCAAATGATTCTAGTGAAGATGTACAGAGTTTAAAAACACAGTGGAGCCCTTCCTGTATTACATGACATCACAAGGTGGAACAAAGTGTTTGACAACTCCAGGGCTGAAATGATCCAAATGTTTCTAGGGAAGGTGGGTCTAAAAACACAGTTGAGCACAGTGGAGTGTAGCTTGTTTGAGAGAAAAACTAAATCTGCACTGTTTATGTGTTAAACTTCTGTGAATCAAACAAACAAATAAACAAAACTCCAGGTCTGTTTGTGACAAGGAAATATGATGACGTAGATCAAAAAATAGCAAAGTATGGGCCATTTAATGATTCAAGTTTAAAGTCTTTGGCAAAAACATGCATCCAAAATCATAATTGTGGTAAAAAAAAGAAGAAGAAGTGAGTCATTATATTTAAAAGAATGTAATTGCTTTCATTTCCCATTAATGCCAAGTAATTAAAGAAGATTGGGCAGAGATGGTGAATCATTTGTATAAGGACTGAGGAGAATCACAATGAGCAGGTATTTGAGTCATTTTCTTATGAACAGGGAGTGTCAAAAGAGTGGAGATGTGATTTAAACAGTGAATGTTGCCATAATTACGTTTGTTTTGTTTTTTTTAATAAGAAAGTTATTTTATTTAGTTTCCTTCCAGACAGATAGTACTTTCAGAAACTTTTGAGAACTGAAGAAGTCTCTTGGATGAGACATATTCTCTCCAAAACTTTTGTCCATGTGACTGAATTCAATTTTCTTTTGTCATTTTATTTCTGTTTGTGTTTGTGGTCAGAGTCCTGGCGCTGAGCAGGGTCACTAGGTGCAATCCTCACAGAGCTGTAGGTTACGGCCTCCTCACTCGATCGAACCTGGACAAACAGACAAACAAACTAGTGGTTATTTTGTCATAATTCTATTAAAGGTGCATTGCGTAACTTTTCTTTTTTCTATAGATATGTCATTGCTCTGGAATGTACCACAGTATGACATAAATACATGTAAGATAGAACTTTTTAAATTACAGGTGCATGGATTTGTAGCTCAAAAATACCCAGAAAAACAGGCGTTGTGACGGTGAGTGAGGTCGCCTCTCCACAGATCTGATCTGTAGTTTGGCCTGGTTTGGTCTCCATGAAGACAGAACACCATAATGTGAAACGTTACAGACAAAGCAATAACATCTCCGTAGAGAAAAGCATTTGACGGGCCCTCCACCAGAAAAGTTACACTAAGGCTACGTTCAGACTGCAGGGCTTAACGCTCAATTCGGATTTTTTTGTGAAATCCGATGTTTTTGCGAGGTCGTTCACATTTCCAATTAAATTCGACTTGTATGTGACTCCAGTGTGAACATTAAATGGCCCAAAAGTGTCCCACATGTGCACTGGAGACATGACGACGTCAACCTCAGTGAGCGTCTCTGTGTTTACAGAAGTTGTCCAAACATGGACGCAGCATTGAGCACCTGGAGATTTTAAAGTTCCTCTCGTACCGGAGCCAGAACATGAACAACTTACTTGTTTTAAGGAGGAGATTGAGAAGGAGAAGGACGAGGTTTTTGGCCGTGGTGTTTTGTGGGACAGCGGCAGCGACGTCCGTTGAAAGGAACGTGTGGATGTGGAGACGGAGCCAAGAGTGGTGAGTGGTGATGTGCTTCGCTTCAGTGACACGGAGTTCATTAACAATTTTCACCTACTTCAGCGCAGAATAGTGACGTTTGTGGCTTGTTGATAACGTGTAGGTGGATGAATGCGCTTTGGCCGTTCACACTGAAGTCACATGTCAAAAGATCAGATATGTATCGGTTTCAGGAGCACATATCCAAGTGTCCTGGGTCGCATTTGAAAAAAATTGGATCTGTGTTGTTCCGACTGTCATTAAAAGATCAGATACAGGTCACATAGGGGCCAAAAAATCAGAATTTGGGTCACTTCAGGCTGCAGTCTGAACGCAGCCTATGTACCTTTAAATGTCATGTCAACACAGATTCTAAGTCTCATGAAGCTAAGAAATACAACAATATAGTTCAATTCAGGAGTCAGATTTTCTCAACTAAAATTACACTCAAATTAAAAATAATTACCATATTTTTCAGACTATAAATCGCTCCAGTAATGCGTAATGAAGAAGAAAAAAACGCAAGTTGCACTTTTTGGGTTTTAAGTTACCAAACTCTCGATCTCCCTCCAAATCACTAAATCCATTAAATTCTTCATCCTCTGCCACTTCTGAGCAACTCCGTGACCTCCAGAGGTAAACGGGAGTTCCAGTTAGAATTATTCCGGCCTTTCTAAATCTCGACAGGATGGTTTCGGTGTCATTGAAGTCCAGGCTTTTTCAATTCATCCAGTGACTTCAGGAACGTTGCATGATGCACCCTCCCGGTTACTGTGAAGTTGTGTTCTCCATTCTCGCTTTCCGCCAGTCCCTTACAAGTTTCTCGCTCACTCCAAATTTTCTTTCTGCTGCTCAATTACCATTTTCGGCTGAATATTTTACTAATTGCAGCAGGACAGAGGCTCTTTCTGCAGGAGACATGCGCAATAGAGCCAAGCGACAGTGGTACAGGAGCAGCAGATACTGACACACAAGCCTAGAGCCTCTCGTCAGTGTGAAAATGTTAATATATAAGTCGCACCAGAGTATAAGTCGCAGAACCACCCAGATCATGAAAAAAGTGCGACTTGTAGTCTGAAAAATATGATATATGACTAATATTAAAGATCAGTGTAGTCAATAGATTAAAAATCAACCTAAATTAGAATTGGTTTCAATATAAACATTGGCTTTGGTTATATACACCCTCAATCTATGAGATTATTAAACAGAGCAGTTTTTTGGGCTCAGTTTTTAACATATTATAGGATTTTAACCAATTAAGAAGTGCAGCATGTGCAGTTCAAAGGACATAAGTAAGGGACTGTCCCTGTTCTCTGTTCTGTTGCCTCAAAAGCACAGGCCTCGTTTTTACTCCACTCTGGTGTTTCAGTTGGTGATGAAATGGTTCATTTCCTCAAAGTGTTTCCTCTGGAAAGCCTGGGAGTATTTCTTCTGTCTTCTGCCACATTTGCTGCCACATGTGGTGTAAAGAGCCTGTAGCAAGTCGTAACAGAGTGGCACGTCTTTAAACTTACTGCAGTTTTCTTGTGGTTCACGCCAAAGTTGATAGAGGCATAAGAAGGTTCCTCTTCACCCTTCAGGACAAAAATAAGAGGTTAAAGCTACGTTTAAAACCTGTCCAACAATTACTCTACTCTGTCAATAACACAATTTTCACAATTTTTTTTCCATTTTTCTCTATTATTTCTACTCACAGTTGGGGTGTTGTTTGCTTCCTTAGCCTTCACTGAAAAAAAAAAAAAACACACACACACACAAGTATTTGTTGGTATAAATCTGAAACACTGAAATTCTTTGTAACAAACTGCGACCTCTGACCTCTGACCCTCCTCCACGTGATGAAGGCCACACCTGTTATGACACACACCACAGCGACCGCTACCACTGCCCACCACCAATCTGCACACACAAACACCAACAAAACACACACACCAACAAACTAAACAGCGGGGAGAGAATAACAAAAGCTGTACTCAAGTCATTGGAAGTAATATAAGATGAAATACTGAAGATTTTCCAGCACCACAGAGTTTGAAGTTTATTGATTTTATAATATGAAGAGATAAGCAGTTTGCGTTGTAGCTTCAATGTTGTTTGGCACAATAGCCGGAGAAAAGCTTTTGTACACACCAAATCTTTTCTGATTTACTGTAGTTTTACTTTGACCAATGACTGTGTATTCACGGATTTCAGATAAAAGTATTTCTTCCTGTTGACATGTTGGCATGACAACAGCCGTCTATTGTCACGCCAACGCAACACAAATAAAAACATATCTTATAATGGGGAAAGGTCTTCACAAAATACTTCTAATTTTAAAGGTGCACTGTGTAACTTTTTTGGTTGGGGGGTTCATTACCTGCTTGTTTCCGTGGATATGTTATTGCTCTGCCTGGAATGTTCCACAGTATGACATTAAACAGCTCAACTTTGCATTTATTACATTACAAGTGGTTTTATAGCTCAAAAATACCAAGAAAAACAGGAATTCTGACTGTGAGCAGGGTCGCCTCGCCACAGATCTGACATGTAACTTGGTCTGGTTTGAAGATAGAAAGGTTTAATGCCATACTGTGAAACATTCCAGACAAAACAATAAATAAATAAAGTAAAAACCTATGAATACAAAACATCTGCAGCCCAAAGAAAATCATGAGATGTAATTATTTTAAAAATGTCCACTCTGTTATAGTATTTTTTTATTTATTATTTTTTTTATTGTATTATTTATTTTTAATTTAATTTAATTTTTTATTTTATTTATTCATTTATTTATTTTTGCGTTGAATCCAGCTTCCATATATTTGTGTAAATTTGTCGTGCAGGGACATGGGTGACTTGGACAGGCTCATACTGCTGACTGTAAGGAGGCTTCGAATTGAGCCCTTGAGAGATCACTAGATTACGCAAATATGCCTGCGTGGTTAATGGTCGTTTTTAAATAGCACTTTTCCACCTTCAAGGAACCACTCACCCATTCACACACACACACAAACACACATTCATACTCCAGGGTACGCAGACACTGGGGGCGAGGGGGGTTAAGTGTCTTGCCCAAGGACACAACAACAGTATTCATCTATGCCCGGTCAAGCAGAAGTAAACAGCAAGGCCAAAAATTCAAGTTAATGCATCTGATATAAAAATGTATTCAACAGATACATATGTACTCTAGTTTATGAAACTGTTTACCTTTTTTCTGTACCATTTTTGGTTTGATTTGATTTAAAATGATAAAAATTTGCTTGGAAGGACTGACATATTTTATAGAAATAGTTTCCTTTCATTTTGAAGTAATATTAAAGTATTCAGAAGAAAAAAGTTGACAAATTATGCAAAATCATGCACCTTCTACTTGCTTACACAATTTTCCCTCCGTTACTTTTCCCTCCGTTACCATGACCTTTCTTAATAAAAAATCTCATTACTCAAAAAGTAAGAGGTTTTTCAACCTAATCTTGTACCATATGGTAGAAAACTATATGAAGCAAATATTCAAACCAGTTTGTTAAGGATATGTAAGTGAGAACCAAGAGTTGTCACTGTTTGTATTTATTGCCCAAAAAGTGCTGCATATTTCATTCCCTCCGTTACCGACATGAGTTTTTAAAATTTTTTGTCAACAACTTGAAAGAATATCACAGGTTTAACTTTACCCTGTTGGAGTGTAACTCTTTCCTACATTCTGATACTTTACTTATTTCAATAGTCCCTCTAGTTTCTGAATAAGAACTATTTGAATGTAAAAAATCTGCCCGTTTCCCTCCGTTACCACTTGACCGGACCCATCTGTGAGAGCTGGAATTGCACCGCCAACCTTTGAGCAGTGGTTGAACTACAGTACAATACTTAAGTTAAATTTTAGGTATCTGTACTTTACATTTTACAGTGGATACCTTTTAGTTTTACTTAAAGGGACAGTTCGGAATTTTGAACATAGGACATCATTTTCTAGTTAGTTCCTAGGTAAACGTTTTGCTTCGGGTATCTTGCGGAGTGGGTAAGACTGTTTTTAGTGGCAGGATAACTACTAATATTTTTTTTTTCAAAGTGTCTCCACACGTCTCCAACACTCTGGCTCACTAGGAAATGAGGCCCTGTCCAAAATTCCAGACTGTCCCTTTAACTACCTTTGAGAGCATGTGTCTACTTTCTACTCCACAAAATTTTAAATCTGGACAGAAAAATAAAAAGCACTTTTCTTTGTAGAGACCTGTTGAAATGGCTAAGACGTGTTTATTTTCGCACATTTCATTTGAGTTTCTGTCCCAGATTTGAGCAACACGACACACAAAACCCCCAAAACAGCTAGAAAAAGTAAGAAGTCAGTTGAATCACTTGAAATCAGCAAAATTATTTTTCAAAGTTGTTCTAAAAATCTCTGCAGAGTACTTTTAGTTTTTACTCTTAAAGTACCTGTTAAGTAAAGGTGTTTAAGTACATTTTTAAAGTAGTTTTGTGATACTTTTGCTGTTTTTGAGTAACTTTTTGGCCTTGTATCTGTACTTTTACTTCAGTCCTTCATCCACGACCTGCATATAAAACCACTTCAAGCATGTTTTTGATGAGGGAACGTTATATAAAAGTTTATTTTACTTACTCCCCATCTTTAACAGTGCAGCTGATTAAAGGAAGAAGTCAAAAAAAGAAGCCTGTTTCGCATTTTGGTCAGACCATATCCAGGTGCAGGTCTTGTGGAGAGTCTGCAGGTGTCAGAATGCTGCAGGTCTAAGAAAGTAACACATCCAAACCCCAAAGCCCTGTGGTCCAATTCAACAGACAATGTACGGCACAGACGAGAAAGAACCTGACACAGAACTATGTCTAAATGTCTATGGGGGCTATAATAGTGTCCAGGAGGTTTACCTTTTAGACCAGTGTCAGGCCTGTCTTCTTCTGAGCTGTTCAGAGTCTCTTCACTGCCATCCTCTTTGTCGTCTTCCTCTGTGTTGGAAAAAAGAGGAAGCGCGGTCTAAAAACTTTCAAATAGTAACAATAAAACCACAACTTCTGTTTTACAAAAAAACAACAACTTTTTGTGAAACCGTCTTGAGAAAATCCACCTGTTCATGGTTTTGTATCAGGTTTTTGAAACATTTTACAGAGAGACCAAAACGATTGTACGTGCATTTTGCCAAAAGCTAGAAAAGTAATTAAATAAGGATGTTTTTTTCTTTTGTTTAAGCGCAATTATGGAATATTAGTAAGGAAATGAGCATGTAATTCTTTATTTGTACTTAAAGCAGACCTATTATGCAAAATTGGCTTCTGGGAGTTTTTTAACCACGTTTTATTTGTTTCCTTTCTCACCTGACATTGTATTTGGAGCAGCAGACAGTTTTGGTTGGAGGAGCTGTGAGTGTGGGGTGCACACTTAATGAATAATTTAGAGTAGGGTGGGGGGGGTTCCTTGCCGGCGAAAGTGAGGACAGGAGGTGGGGTGGGAGACATTTAATTTACTGTAAATCTTTTCTTCATTCGCGTGCAGGTGGTCGGTCCCTCGCCAGAAATGAAATGTTGACTGCACAAACGACTGTATTCAGTGGGCTCCATCCCTCTCTTTTTTATGTCCGCTATCCACCTCTGTCTGCGATCTTTATCAGCTGAGATCCGATAGAAAGACACTTTGGCCTCCTTCTTTAGCAGAATGAATCCGGCCAGAACATCCAAGAGCAACACAAGTCAAAACCATTATTATTCAATTCCAATTTTTATCGCACACAAATACTACACGTTCATCCAGATGGATAGTTTGACCTCCAGTATGGTGGCATACACACCAGTTCACGTGATTTTGTGACATAGACACAAAACCTTAATACTGAGTTCTTATTTTATTGTACCGTATTTTTCGCACTATTAGGCGCTCTGGATTATAAGGCGCACTGTCATTAAATGGTCTATTTTCTAACTTTTCTCACAAATAAACCGCACCGGACATTAAACAAAACACAACAGTTGGATGGGTGAGTGGTTTTGTTTGTTTGTCGTGTTCACGGTGACTCTGGGCTTTGTTCAGTTGTGGCGTGTAGGGAGGTGCTGTCTGGGATCGCTGGATTGTCGGCGTGTTCGCAGTGACTCAGTTGTTCAGTTGTGTCTAGAAGCGGCACATTGCACTCGCTTTTTCGGTTCGTTCCTTCGTTCCGTTCCTCGTCGGCGTGGAGTGATGAGTGTGTCTGTGGGTGTTTTTCGCTGTGCGGTCGCTGTCTGCTCCGTGTGTGTTTGCGTGTTCTGCGGGTGGTGCGGCTTTGTAGTTTACTGAAGTCGTGCTGGGACACCTGAGTGGATTCATGTATAGGGCGCTCTGGATTGTGGGGCGTGCAATCGTTTTTTGATGGGGTTAGAGGCTTAAGAGCGCGTCTAATAGCCCGGAAAATAGGGTAATCTCTTTTTGAACTGTCAGTGTATGCCTTTTGAACATGAACTCCCTATGAAAATGGGGCAAAAATCTTTGGGAAAGCATTGGTCATTCTAGGGACTGCCACGATCCCTGATTTGGAGTCATTTGTGCACGTTTGACCAATCTTTACTCGCTTATTTCTTTCATCTAGCATCAGCATTTGGTATTTAAAGGAATATACTAGAAAAACACTTTGTCTTTGTTTTTTTTTTTCCCCATCAGCCACATCAACAGTGAAAAAAAAAAAAAAAAAAACACACAAGAGAAGAAAAAAAAAATTAGGAAAAAAATTTGAAGATTTTTTTTTTTTTTGAGTTGGTGAAAAAAGAAAAAAAAAAACACTGAAATAGAAAATAGAGCCCAAATGACTGCCTCTTCTTTTTTTTTCTCTTGCCTCTCAGGGCTTTCGTATATGACTGAAAATACGTTAAATGAAAACCTTTTGTACAAATAAAAGTTCAAACATACACAAAGCGATCAGGGATTTAACCCACAACCTCCTTATTGAAAACCAGGAAACAGGATAAGAAGGTTTACCTGTAAATCCAATGTCAGATCTGTCTTCTTCTGAATCTTCTGAGTCTTCTGAGTCATCCTCTCTGCTCTCTTCCTTCCCCGTAAGACTCTCTATGGGTTAAAATCACATTTAAAATAAGATCTATAAATACACTGCCAGTCAAAAGTTTGGACACGCCTTCTTTTTCAGTGTTTTTTAGTTTACCACATTTTATATACACACAGAAGACACAGAATATATTATGGAAGATATATGGATTTATGTAGCAAAGTAAAGAAAATAAATATTGTGCTTGATCCTGCTATATGACACCTGTGGATCACTGTTATCATTTTAAATCAGAATATTCATCTAAAATGGCGGAAACTGATGAACAGCCGCACACCACGCTAGCGAGCAGTGGATTTATTTTTCATTTATACCAAAATACTACTTGCCGAACTTGTGACTAAATAAAATTGGAGAGTGAAGTGCAGAGCATGTCTTTTTGATGAAATACAGATGGCTCAGACATGCCCCAGTCACTCCAGTACAATTATGAGAGGGTAAATGAGAAGGGAAACATCTAAAACTTATGCTACCTCTTGTGTTAGCGCTCAGCCTCGATCTTACTATTTTTTCATTGTGTCTATATTGTGTTTTGTAAATTGGTCCTCCCCAGCCACACTTTGACTGTTTACATTATTACAGTAGTATTGTTCTGAGTAGCCAGGCTGGTATCACCTAGTGCCTCCGCTCAATTTCATTTCTCTCCAGCGACTAGGTCAGGAATCAAAATACAATAGACGGTTCGCAAAAACAACGGAAGTGCGAGTTCGGGCACCGGCCAATCAGCGAAGAGCCGTATATTCAGTGTTGTCAACGATTCCCGAGATCGAGGATTTAAAACCGGAATGAAGAGAATGTTTAGTGAATTTCATCAAGGGGAAAGACATTATTGTCCTTCTTCCTACGGGATTTGGGGAAAGCTTCATATACCAGTTAGCCCTGTTAGCGGCGCATTACATACGTCACGACCAAATAGCAGCAATTGGTTAAATAAAAAAGTACCCTCCTACCTTCGAGCTAACAAAATCTAAGGCTGCGAGGTCAGACGGTTTGTACAAAGAGAAACAAAGTAAAACTGGCTGATGAATCAGGCTATATTTTGACAGCATTTCTAAAAAAAAAAAAACTGATATAAAGATAAAGGTATAATTATAAAGGTGATGGCACGACTAGTAACGCTATCCTGCTAGATATATTAGACATTTTTTAACTAGAAATTAACAGTAAAATTAAAAAGGCAGTGAACATTATTCATTAATGCTAATGGTTTTATTAAAGGGATAGTTCAGGTTTTTTGACATGAATCTGTATGGCATCCCTGTCAGCAGTGTCGTGCATCCACACTGACTTACTCCCCGACAGCATCCGGTGAGCCGAGATACTGACCGATTTTGGTGCTGACGAAAGTAGTCCGGCAAGTTTGGCTGGGGACATTAAAATAAAGCTTTTTTCTTCTCAAAACAATATGTGTTCAAAAGAGTGATACATTTGCATCACAAAACCATCGTCCTCCAAAAAGTCAGACCTCATTATCGCTTGGCACTATTTTCTCTCCGTTAGTATCACTGCGCGCTGACATGTGTGTGGAGATTCAGCCAGATTTTTGGTGTTACAGCCTGGATAATCACAAGTTCAAACCATTTTTTTTAGATATATTCTTATATAGCTTATACAAGCTCATATACTTATCGCTCTAGCTCTCACATTAGCTCTCTCACGTCGCGGCAGTCTGAGCACGTAAACACTGCCAAACAACTGAAGAAAGTGATGGATCCGTGCGCGGCTGTCACCTGGGGACAGCGCGCAGTGATACAAACAGAGAGAAAATAGTGCCAAGTGATTATAAGGTCTGACTTTTTTGAGGACAAAGATTTCGTGATGCAAATAAATCACTCTTTTGAACACATGTTGTTTCGAGAAGAAAAATGCTTTATTTTCGTGTCCCCAGCGAACTTGCCGGACTACTTTCGTCAGCACCAAAACCGGTCAGTATCTCGGCTCACCAGACGCTGTCGGGGGTAAGTCAGTGTGGATGCACGACACTGCTGATGGGGATGCCATACAGATTTATGTCAAAAAACCTGAACTATCCCTTTAACCAAGGAACAACCAAGAACCAAGAAACAGTTATTACTGTATTAAGAAGATTCTTGTATTTAAATGTAAAATGTAATGTGAAATTGCTCTGTGTATGTACAATTAAAGTAAATCAGAAGTCACAGAAAGCCAAGACAACATGAAATGAATGTCTTCATCTCACATTTGTTTACCTGTTACATATCTAAAATGTAGAAAGTAAACATGAATATAAAAACACATTGAATGAGAAGGTGTGTGCAAACATATGACTGGTATATGGTGTATATCGTTCTCTCACCTGGACTGTTTTTGGGGAAGTGAAACTTGATCTCGTTGTTGGTACATTTCACATCACATGTGAACTCCTGCAGTCTCAGATTGTTGAGTTCAGATGTTGGTACTTTGACAGTAGCCAAGCAGTTGGATGTTTTCACTGCGAGGTGGGGATGACTTTCTTCAACTGGAACATCCCCTATTGACCATTTGGACCGGAATCGAACACATCGCTCCTTTGAGGAGATTGAGCAACTTAACTCTGTTTCCGAAGTGTGTGTAGATTTTTTCACTGAGGAAGGAAAATAAAAAGTCTGTGGTAGAATCATAAACTGTATAGATGGACATAGCTAACGTGCAAGACGCTGTGATCCAAATAGGAAGTGGGCATGAAAGCACTTCTGGCTCCTACTGACCCTGGCTCTTATTGACTTGTCTCGTCATTTTGGTCTTAAAATGTTCATATTAACCCATTCACTTAGTCCATTTCTTTATACAGTCTATGGGCAGAATGTGTTTTCTCAAAGCATAAACACTCACTGCCATTGTAAGACAGGAAGGACAAGCTCAAAGGCTACGTTCAGACTGCAGGGCTTAATGCTCAATTCAGAATTTTTTGGGAAATCTGATGTTTTTGCGAGGTCGTTCACATTTCCAATTAAATGTGACTTGTATGCGATCCCCTGTGTGAACGTTAAACGGCCCGAAAGTGTCCCGCATGTGCACTGGAGACACGATGACGTCAACCGCAGTGAGCGTGCTCTGTGTTTACGGAAGTTGTCCAAACATGGACGCGAGCATTGAGCACCTGGAGATTTTAAAGTTCCTCTCAAACCGGAGCCAGAACATGAACAACTTACTTGTTTTAAGGAGGAGATTGAGAAGGAGAAGGACGAGGTTTTTGGCCGTGGCGTTTTGTGGGGCAGCGGCAGCGACGTCCGTTGAAAAGAACGTGTGGATGTGGAGACGTTGCCAAGAGTGGTGATGTGCTTCGCTTCAGTGACAGAGTTCATTAACAATTTTCACCTACTTCAGCGCAGAATAGTGACGTTTGTGGCTTGTTGATAACGTGTAGGTGGATGAATGCGCTTTGGCCGTTCAGACTGAAGTCACATGTCAAAAGATCAGATATGTATCGGTTTCAGGACCACATATCCAAGTGTCCTGGGTTGCATTTGAAAAAAATCTGATCTGTGTCGTTCAGACTGTCATTAAAAGATCAGATACAGGTCACATAGAAGCCAAAAAATCGGATTTGGGTCACTTCAGGCTGCAGTCTGAACGCAGCCAAAGACATCTGGGAGTCTAGTCCACAACCAGTATAGTATACAGGCCACAGTACACACAAAATACTAAGAGAGATCAGGAGTCTAACACACAACCTCCGCACTGCCATGCAACCATGAATTTTACTAAAAGTAAAGTTAAAAACATTACTCACTGGAGATGATAGATAGAGAGACCAGGTAGTCCAGAGGGTAAAGGTTCTCCTGTAGGGTGAGACTGTCTGCACATGTACTCACCGGCATCCTGAGTTTGGACACCTTTAAAAGAGAACTGTTAAAGCATTCAAGCACGTGTTTTAATGCAACAAGCAATACTGTATTATTTTTATAATTATTACATGTTTGCACCAGATACATTTTTTAATAAGTAGAGGCTAACCTAGCAGAGGTTTCATGCTTAACATGATTAACAACCTAAATAAGTACATTTTACATAATATAATACCTTTAATCTGCAGAGAACATTTTTCAGTGAGGTTCATCCTCTCCGATTTGACTTTTCCTGATCTAACCAGTTCCTGTCTTGGATTTGTTTCCTCAAAAGTCCACGTGGTCTCGTCACATTGTTTCTGCTCGGGTTCAACTTTTTCACATGGTAAAGTGGCATCCTCTCCTTCTGCCACACACTCATAAAGGATCTGTTCTGACTCTGGGAGAGAGAAACAAAGAACATGCTTACATATCACTTAAATATTCTTTAACTATTCCTTAAAGGGCCAATATTATGCCATTTTTTATATATTTATTATAATGTTGTTAGTAAGTATACATGGAGTTGTGTTTTGTTTCATTTAAACATGTTTAACACACAAATCCTGCATATTTAGGCTGAGTTTTGTCAGACAGAAAACACTTATGATGTCATGTGGTAATCAGTGTTGAGAGTAACGCGTTATAAAAGTAACACATTACTGTAATGCATTGCTTTTTGCTGTAACGCAGTAGTGTAAGGCATTACAGGGGAAAAAATGGTAATATTTTACTCGATACAAATGTGAGTAACGCGCGTTTACAATGCATTTCTAACCTGGATTGAAGAGGAAGGTTTTTCCTTTTTCTTCATACCAGTTTGCTAAAATCATCGCGATATCAGCAGCGGTGAAACGCCAGTTACGTGCCCGCATAGACCGTCAGGTAACCACGGGCAAAAGGACCGGCGCAGAACTCTGACGCCTGTGCAGAGACCTTGGCGCTTCCAAGTTCTAGTCCAAGATTGGTCCTGTTTTGGTCCTGGTTTAGAGCTGGTTTAGTCCTGGTTCAGTTCTGTTTTAGTCCTGGTTCAGTTCGGGTTCAGTTCTGTTTTAGTCCTGGTTCAATCCAGGTTCAGCTTCGGTTCAGTTTTGGTTTAGTCCTGGTTTAGACCTGGTTTAGTCCTCCTTCAGTCCTCGGTTTAGTCCTCAGTTCAGTCCTGGTTTAGTCCTGTTTCGGTCCATATACGGCGCAAAAGTTCAGCATCTTCGCAGTTATTTTGGTGAGAGTAATTTAAAAGTAATACAATAGTCGTGTAATGCCTTACATTTTAAATACAGTAATATTGTAATGTAACAAATTACTTTGAAATGACAGTAACAAATAATAAATAAATAACACATTACAGTTTTAAAGTAACTTGCCCAACAGTGGTGGTAATACGGGAAGTGCTCCACAGTTTTTAAGGACTTGTTACACCTTTACCAGAAGCATTTGGATGATATCAAACCTGTATTGCCAATCTCTACTGAACTAAAGGTAAATGGTAGCTGTTAACTTAAACTGTTGCTTCATGACATCACAAGGTGGAACAGAGCATTTTGAGCTTTGCTGTAGACAGACTAATAATAAAGGGTTACTCAAAAATGTGTGAATGAAACAAAACACAACTCCAGGTCTGTTTTTGTGGAGGTAACAATATTCTAACGTGGCTTAAAGTTGCACTATAACTTTTTGGTTAGAGGTCTGTCACCTGCTGGTTTCCATGGATATGTCATTGCTCTGCCTGGAATGTTCCACAGTATGACATTAAACACATTTAAACCTAACATTTACTCAATTACAGGTAGTTTTATCCACAGATCTGACCTGTAACTTGGTCTAGTTTGGTCTCCATGAAGATAGAAAGGTTTAATCATACTGTGAAACTTTCCGGACAAAGCAGTAACATCTCCATGAAGAAAAGCGTTTGACGGACCCTCCACGAGAAAAGTTACACAATACACCTTTAAACAAAAGCTTCCAAAATGGTAGCTCTGTCAAATCTTTGCTTCTGCTGTTTTTTTCTGTGTTGTGGCACCAAAGCGGCTTATGTCTGAGTTGATTCCATCACAAAAGAAAATTGAATTCTGTCAACTGGACAAATGAACACATTCTCACAACACAGTGCAAGGTGATTTTCTCTATGAACAAAGTCAGATGCCCTTCCACAAAAAAGTAAAATTTCATACCATTCACACACACAGACACATAATACTTAAAAAACATAATAGTTACCTAGAAATTGCAGCAGAATGATTAAAAGAACTATAATCCTCGTACACGCAGCCATCTGTTCTGTGTGTGCATCTCAACGGAGCCTGTCATGAGACATACTTCCACTTCCTCTTTCTTCTGTTTTCCTTACATTTAATACTTGCACTTATTTCCTTAGAGACGTCTATTATAGTGATTCATATTCTACCACCTCGTGTATGGTGCCATAAACCAAATTTAAATACATAAAAGATATTTTCTGTACTGTATGTAGGGGTGTCAAATTATCGTGTTAATTGCGATTAATTAATTACAGTCATATTTAGCGCGTTATGTTTTTTAATCGCGTTAATCTAATTTTTAATCTCTAACTTTACTGTTTCTGTTTGCGAGTTGCTTTATTATAAAACCTGTTTTTATGTGTTGTTGGGACAACAACACACACACACACACAAAACACATTTATACATTTTTTTATTTCGGTAATTCCACTCATTGTCGGAAACCCACACAACGCGCGCAGTAAGAGCGATGTAAACGTCACATTGGCGGCGTCAGTCACAATGGACGAGGTCGAACAGCCAGTAGAACAGAAGCAGCATCGCACAGGTAAAAACGCATTCGTGTTTTGGAAATTATTCTCCCGACGTGAAATATAAAAGAAAATAACAAATATACGCCTACAACTTAAATGTCACTGGTGAAAACAACCTGCATAGACTCATGATGTCTGCACTACTGTCCTATAGTGACCTGCCACATGAGGGGACACGCACACACACACAACACACACACACACAAACACACACAAACACAAACACACACAAACACAAACACACACAAACACAAACACACACAAACACACTCAAACAAACTCACACCTTCATCATCGTCATTAACCTGAGAACGTGCGGACCACGTTTCCTTCCGTAGTTACTGCGTGGACACCGACGTGCTGCCGTGAGCCGCGTGTGGATCGTGTTTTCTCGCTACGCTGCGTAAACCGCGCTTCCTCCTGTGAGCCTCTAAACCAGAACTAACACCAAGACTAAAACCAGAACTAATCTAGTCCAGGACTAAACCAGGACTAAACCAGAACTAAAACCAGAACTAAAACCAGAACTAAAACCATGTCTAAAACAGGACTAAACCAGGACTAAACCAGGTCTAAACCAGGACTAAACCAGAACTAACACCAGGACTAAAACCAGGACTAACCCTTTCCAGGACTAAACTAGGACTAAAGTAGGACTAAAGCAGGTCTAAACCAGGTCTAAACCAGGACTAAAACCAGGACTAAACCAGTGATCTCATATGGTTAAGGAAAGACTGGACTTTTTATTGTCTTTAAGTAGACAAAAGTTATTATGTTCAGATTTCCTCGTCTTTGCTACTTTACAGCAAACAGTTTCTTATTCATGGAGACTTGGGCTCAACAGCCAAATTGGAGAGATTTGTTGAACAATAAATGACTTTATAAAGTCACTTTTTTTTGTTCTATATCAGTCTTTTGATCTGCCACAATAATGTAATAATGAATTTAAATGAAAATACCTCAAATTGAAAGCTTTTCTCAGCAATTTTTAGGTGAGATTAAAATGAGATTAATTAGATTAATTAATTACAGATCATAATTAATTAATCTCTAAATTTTTTTAATCGCATGACAGCACTAACTGTATGTATTGTAGCGTAACCCTTGACGATGAAGCATTTATCTCTTCATGTTGTGTTGTTAAAAATTGTGCTGTTAATTATGAATTTCTATTTGCTTTGTTCTCCTTTGTTAACAGGTCGGTTAAACTTAAGTTGTGAAAAATTATAATTCAAAGCTACAAGTCTGATCTGTGGAGAGGCAACCCCGCTCACAGTCAGAATGCCCAGGTATATTTGAGCAACAAAACCTCCTGGAATTGACTAAATGTAAGTTGGAGATGTTTAATGTACGGAAGCCGAGAGGGGTCACAACAAACGCAAACGCCGCAACAAATACAAATGCGACAACACAACAAAAAGCCACAACACACCAAAAAAAGCCACAACGGAAATGGCCGCGGGACTCTATTTTAATGCAAACGCCGCAACAAATACAAACGCCACAACACAAATGCAAATGCGGCAACACATTAAAAAGCCACAACGGAAGTATCATTATTCGTTTCTTATTCTTCTTTTTCACTTGCCGCTTGATCGGTCCGTTGGAAAATAGAGTCCCGCGGTCACTTCCGTTGTGGCTTTTTAATGTGTTGTGGCTTTTTAATGTGTTGCGGCTTTTTAATGTGTTTCGGCATTTGCGTTTGTGTTGTGGCGTTTGTATTTGTTGCAGCGTTTGCATTAAAATAGAGTCCCGCGGTCATTTCTCTTGTGTCTTTTTTTGGTTTGTTGTGGCTTTTTTTTTTTTTTTTTTTTGTGGCATTTTTTGGTTTGTTGTGGCTATTTGTTGTGTTGTCGCATTTGTATTTGTTGCGGCGTTCGGCTTCCGTATTAATGTTATATTGTGGAGCATTCCAGACAGATCAGTGACATCTCCATAGAAACAAGCTGGTTACATAGTGAATCTTTAAACATTCAGTTTAATCAGAGGTGAGAGAAATTAAGTAATTTTATTCAAAATCATAGGTGACCAATCAGCTCCTTTGTTTCACACGTGTCACTGAAATGAATCTGACTGGACGATGTTGTTTGGTTCTGGCTCGAGATACGACAAAGGCATGGGGACCAGACTTGATCAAAAATACTGAGACATACTGTATTTCAGACAAAATATTCAGGTTTAAGGAAATTGTAGCCAGGCTGGCGCCACCTAGTGCCTCCTTTCAATTTCATTTCTCTCCAGCAACTAGGTCAGGAATTGGAATACAGTAGACGGTTTGCAAGAACTTCAGTCCAGGCACCAATCAGCGAAGAGCCATACATTCTGCGTTGGCAATGATTCCCGAGATCGAGGATTTAAAGCCGGAACAACAAAGGTTTAATACCATACTGTAAAACATTTCAGACAAAGCAATAACATTTCCATAGAGAAAAGGCATTTGATGGACCTTCCACCACACAATGCACCGTTATTATTTGTAACAACAACAAATTCTTATCATATTGTGAACCTTTGTGGGCTCAAAGCAAGGACGAGAACCTGTACCCTGACAATACAGTATCAGTTTTTTCAGGTTTTTTCAATCATCTTTCTTCATAACATCAATATCAATGAAGCTGCACTGTCCCTGAGTCTTCGAGGTCTAATGAAATGAAAACACACACGTGTAATTGTTACACAGACCGTCCCCGTCCCCGTGTCCTCTGGGGTTTACTGTGTTAAATCACCCACAGCCTAATAATGTTAATTACAACTATTGATTGTTTGTGGTTTGTGATATTGACTGGACAATGGAATGCGGGAAAAATATCACACCTCACAAAACAATTATTATTACTGAATCCTGGAGGGTTTTTTATGATTTAAAGAACATATTATTCAGACTTGGCTTTTCAATACTGTAATACTTGAAAATACATGAAGCTTGTAATAACATTGTTCCCCCATTAAAAATGTACCAGGAGTTGTATTTTGCTTCCCCCACAAAACACTTGATGTTTTCCAGGATTGTTATGTCACAGCTAAAAGCCCTTTACAGTTTTCAAAGAGGTTTTTTGTTTGTTTTTTTTGTTTTTTTATGGTGTATTAATTGCTAACACATAACATATTTAAATCACCATGTTACCTTTTATAGTTTTGAAAATGCAAAATGTTCTAAAACAACATATTCACATGCTTTATAAGTTTCATTTCCTTTCATTTTTAAAGAGTCAAAATCTATTCCCCTTTCACATTGCAATCCGCTTACGTTCTGCAAAAGAAACTACTGCACATTGCGTCAGATTGGTCAAGTTTTAGTGCATTTTGTATCATGTTTTTGTACATTTAAGGAGAACTCTCGAGTGGGAGCGTGGGCGACGTAGGCTTGTGGGCTGAACATTAGACAGAACCTTACAGCTAACCATAAGGAGGGTTTGAATAAATTACTCAAACGCGCATGAATAATTTATAACTACTTCAAGCGAGTTTTTGATAAGGGAACACAAACCATCACCAGACTCATTTTAAACTTTCTGTTGTCCATTCATGCTCGGTGATACACGTCAGCTCAGTGCGGTCAAAAAAAGACGATGGTCATGTCCTATTTAGCATTGAGTGCGTATACATGCACATCAATAACCCGGTTATTAGCCATACCCCGGTTATGTCAGTATTCGTGTTACTGCGTATACATGCGCACTGAGAAACCGGGACACTCATATTCGCGTATACATGATCAAATGGAGTATCCCGGTTTCTTGACATAATCTTACAAATGCGCAGGCGCAAAAATTAACTTAAATCAATTTCATAAACCAGGAAAAATACAAAGCTCCTTTAGCATAAGAAGCTAAGGAGTTACGAGATCTCCCACAATCCACTGTGCAGATTCTTCATTAAAATCTTCTGCATAAATAAACTCAACTTTACAACATATAAACCATAAACACTATAGAGCCACATCAGCCTGTTTGATCAGATAATTCAGCTGTGATCACATTTGTTTACGTTTTACAGAAACGAAACTTAAGACCGTTTGGCTAATTACCATAAACTGTTAGCGGCGATAAGAACAACTCGCTCCTTGCGCCGCTGATGCGATCAGTTTCTTTTGGAGTAAATGACACGACTCTGTGGATTATGTGTGTTATTTCTGTGACAGAAGAGGCGCTAATGATGGTAAGTGTGTTCCATGCGTATAGTGTATAGGAGATAGTTCATGTTTTAGCTTTTCAGCGTCACACGAGTGCAGGTCGTACGAGTGCAGATTGTACGTGTGCAGGTTTAGCGCAGCTCTTTATTTTACAGTCATTTCACTCGTTTGGTCACTTTATTTATGTTGGTCAATTTATTTATGTGACTATTGTTGTGGTGAAAGGCTGGAAAGTGTCTTTTGGACACATGCGCACTCAACTTTATGTTGCAGTAACCGGGATACTGCGTATACATGCCACAAGTAACCCGGTTACTATCGGAATAAACCAGCTACAGTAACCCGGTTTCTAATAACCGGGATACTGCCATAACCGGGTTACTGAAACCGGGTTACTGTGTATACATGCACCATCAAGAAACCGGGATACTCAAAAAACCCGATCATAACCGGGTTATTGATGTGCATGTATACGCACTCATTGACTCATTATGCTCAAAAGATGCACTCTGTAACTTTTCTTGTGGACGGTCCATCACCTGCTTGTCTCTATGGGCTGTTTCTGCTTTGCCTGGAATGTTCCACAATATGGCATTAAACTTACATTACGTATCTTACATTTATGCGACTACAGGTGTTAAAATAACTGTACTGTATCTAATCTGAGCTGGTAACCTTCACCCGATCAGCTGCTTCTCTACATCAAGACAGATATGTTTAAAGATCCTACTTTACACAAAATTGATTTGTATTGTGAGGTTTAAGTCATGTTATAATGTTATTATCTCTTCAAAAACAGACCTGGAGTTGTGTTCTGCTCTGTGCCACCTTGTGATGTCACGAAGACATACGGCTACCTTTTACCTTGAGTTCAATATGGTTAGGTCATTGCAGAAAATTGAAATTACTCAAATGATTCTAGTGAAAATGTATGAAGTATAAAAACACATACCATACCAACGTTAGTTTTAAAGCACGTTCAAAACTTTACAGCAGGCCAAAGTGCTGTACACAAACACAGGACACACAATGACAATCGCAGTAGAAGAAAATATACAGTAAAAACACAATACAACTACTAAAAAAACATAGAAAACAGTAAGATAATAAGAAATATACATGTCACTTGTTAAAAGCCGGTGAGAAAAGGTGTGTTTTTAGGAGAAACACAGGTACAGACTCGGCCCGTCTAATCTCAAATGGCGACTGGTTCCAGAGCCGTGGAGCAGCAACAGAAAACACACGGTCCCCACGAAGCTTATGTTTAGTTTTTGGGATGGTGAGCTGCTGACCTGAGAGTGTGAGAGGGGACGTAAAGGTGGATCAAGTCAGCGAGGTAGGAGGGTGCTAGTTTGTGCAAACAAAATCAAATTTTAATTTTATTTTGTTATTTTTTATTTATTTAATTTTATTTTAAAATCAACTCTAAGGCTATGTTCAGACTGCAGCCTGAAGTGACCCAAAGTCCAGATTTTTTGGCCCTATGTGACCTGTATCTGATCTTTTAATGACAGTCTGAAGCGACACAGATCAGATTTTTTCAAATACGACCCAGGCCACTTGAATATGTGATCCTAAAACCGATACATATCTGATCTTTTGACGTGCGACTTCAGTCTGAAAGGCCAAAGCGCATTCATCCGACCAACACGTTATCAACAAGTGACAAATGTACACAAACGTTCTTCTCGTCATACGAAAATTGTTAATGAACTCTGTGCCACTAAAGCGAAGCACATCGCTATCACACCACTCTTGGATACGTCTCCGCATCCACACGTTCCTTTCAACAGACGTTGCTGCCGCTGCCCCACAAAACGCCACGGCCAAAAATCTCGTCCTTCTCCTTCTCAATTTCCTCCTTAAAACAAGTAAGTTGTTCATGTTCTGGCTCCGGTACGAGAGGAACTTTAAAATCTCCAGGTGTTCAATGCTCGCGTCCATGTTTGGACAACTTCTGTAAACACAGAGCACGCTCGCTGAGGTTGACGTCGTCGTGTCTCCAGTGCGCATACGGGACACTTTTGGGCCATTTAACGTTCACACTGGAGATCACATACAAGTCGCATTTCACTAGCTAGGACCACGCCAACAACGACATAGTGCGAAGAAGTTTATTGATAATGTATGAAGCGAGGCAGATGGTTGGGTTGAGACAATAGGTGGGGGCTCCGTCTCAATCTTCAATTGGACCAGCCGGAACGTCACCCCGTTGTAGGTGTCTTATGACTGAAATACAAAATAGGGGATGGGAGGGTGGGGTCGCGTTAGCTGGGACAAACTGGGATGATGGGAAAGGCTGCTACATATAGGCTTCTGGGAAATTAGAGGCGTGGTCGAGGTGAGTTGTGGTTCGCTGGTGAGAGGAGAGGGCGGCTGAGGTGTGGTCCTGCTCCTGAATCTCAGTTAATCATATTAACTACATTTAATTGGAAATGTGAACGACCTCGCAAAAACATTGGATTTCAAAAAAAAGTCCAAATTGAGCATTAAGCCCTGCAGTCTGAATGTAGCCTAAAAGACACTGGGAGCCAATGGAGAGAGGCTAAAATAGGTGAGATGCTCTCGTGTTTCCAGGTTCCAGTTAAATCCGAGCAGCTGAGTTTTGGACCAGTTGCAAACGGCAAAGTGCATTTTGGCTGACACCAACATAAAGTGTATTACAGTAATCCAATCTCGTTGTCACAAATGCATGTATGACAGTTTCGAAGTGTTGCGTTGACAAAATGGGCTTAATTTACAACAGCATTAATTTGCTGATCAAGTTTTAGATTAGGGTCCATTTTGACATCTAAGTTTGTAACAACTGGCTTCACTAAACAATTTAGTGAACTCAAAAGAAGAATTTGAGAGAAGAACTCAGCTTAATTACTAGTATGTACGGTCTGTGTTAAACATGTGAATGAAACAAAACACAAATCCAGGTATGTTTTTGATGAAGAAACAGCATTATATCAGAATGTAGTGTAATATGAGCCCTTTAATGACATACTGTGAAATGATCGTGGAATATGTCAGATTTCTTCTTTCTTTTAAGTTCAGCTACACAATTACAGTGAAGATATAGTCATTTTTTTGAATAGCCATAGAAATGGAGAGTTGAATAGACTATTTCGTGCCTCTTGTGAATGAGAAATTGGTTTGGGACTCATGATTAAAGAGTTGTTAGAACATTCTGTACGCACACACAGAAAAGTACAGTGCTGCCTTGACAAATACAATACCACGAGTCTGTTTAAGCTGCAGACAATGGGACGAGACCAGACAGAGCTTTAAATATATTTTTCAGTGTTTATCAGGTGAGTTTCTGTATTCATTCACATTAAAAGACGCATATTCTGCAAAACTGTTTTCTTTTGCTTTTCGCCAAGTTAAAACATTGATGCCTCGTCAAAAACATAGTTTTTTTATTCATTTAGTACGGAAGTCGAGAGGGGTCACAACAAACGCAAACGCTGCAACAAATGCAAATGCGACAACACAACAAAAAGAAACAACACACCAAAAAAAGCCACAACGGAAATGACTACGGGACTCTATTTTAATGCAAAAGCTGCAACAAATACAAACGCCACAACACAAACGCAAATGCCACAACACATTAAAAAGCCACAACACATCAAAAAGCCACAACAGAAGTGACCGCGGGACTCTATTTTCCAACGGACCGATCAAGCGGCAAGTGAAGAAGAAGAACTACAACGTGAAAAGTAAAGGAACGGAGAAGTTGGAAACGTAAGTAAAAGTAATTTATTGTTTTATCATTATTCGTTTCACGTTGTAGTTCTTCTTCTTCACTTGCCGCTTGATCAGTCCGTCGGAAAAAAAGAGTCCCGCGGTCACTTCCGTTGTGGCTTTTTGATGTGTTATGGCTTTTTAATGTGTTGCAGCATTTGCGTTTGTGTTGTGGCATTTGTATTTGTTGCGTGGTTTGCATTAAAATAGAGTCCCGCAGTCATTTCCGTTGTGGGTTTTGTTGTGTTGCGGCATTTGTATTTGTTGCGGCGTTTGCGTTTGTTGTGACCCCTCTCAGCTTCCGTAATTCAGGTTTGTTTCATTAAACCATTAGTCCAAAGTTGTCTTCAAGTTGTCTGAGCACTGGAAAATGCTCTGTCTGCATTTTGCCTGAATTGTTGCATCACAGGTAAAAATCCAGACTTCTCCTGTGTGGTTTTGAAGCCCATAAACCTTCACCGGACTTCAGTCAGTTTGTGCTCACAACACACACGGCTGTAGCAGATTATACATAGAGCCGAGGGATTTCCTTTGTTTATTTTCTCACTGACAGCAGAGGGAGCTCCAGCGTCTTAATGTGTCCTCACAGGTGTCATTTATAAAGTGGGGACAAGTGGGACATTTCAAGTTATGTTTAAGAGAGATTTAAAGTCATACAATTACACAATATCCTCTTCAAAGTTGCACTCTAACTTTCATGATATAGGTCGACTCTGAGCTTTGAACCGTGCTTTAATGCTCTCTCCTTTCCATTATCTTACACTGGATTGTATTTAGATTTTATTTACTTATTTTCATTTTCAGGATTAATTTCTGATTAATCTTGTGTGGCAAGACCGGCTTTGAGGGTCTAGGCTGCAGGTGCTCTTACCTGGCGTTCCGTGGCGCTGCGCTGGTGGGCTATTTAAGCGCTCCCTTCTCAGTCGTTCCCCCTTTTGGCTCACACGCTCTTCCGGGCCTCTCCTTGTGGCCGCTCTGTCCTCCAGCTCAGGTAACGTTCACTTGGTAAATTCCATGCCCGTTACATCAAATTTCCTATCACGTTTCCTTTTAGTGTCGCTGCTTGGCCGCTGCTTGGCCGGTGCTCTCACCACATCTGTCCCTCGCGTCTCCGAATCACGGAGCACCTAGGGCGCGCTTTCGTCTCCCTGATAAGGTAATGCACGCCCGATACTCCTCCACTCATTCATCCGTGCCCATACTTTTACCGGTGTCTCTCTGTAGCTCCACGGGTGAGCCGAGCGAGTCCCTCCCCATTGCGCTTGGCGGTGCGCCGCCGTGTCTCTTAAACCGCGGCGGCAGGTAACCAAACCCTTATCATCACGTGCTACCTGTGCCAAACCGCTCTAAATTGTGTGTTTGTAGCGTGTGCCGGTCCACGTTGTCTGGACCACTTCTGGACGGCGTTATCCTGTGTAGTCGCCTTTGATTCAGCCTGGGGATTACGCACTGTCACCTTCAACCACGGTATGTTTAGCCCAGATCCTTGCACTGCAGGCTCAGATTTTAATTCCAAAATTTAATTTTCTAGGTGTCAGCGGGGGCCTGCAGCGGCGTGAGGACACCACCTCTGCTGTTTTGTTTTTTTGTTTTATTTGGGGTTTTTTTTTGTTTTATTTTGTTTTGCTCTGTTTTGTTTTGCTTCAGTTTTGCTTTGGGTTTTGGGGTTTTGCTTTGCATTTTCAATATTGTGTACTCGTTTTCTCACTGTAGTGTTTTACTGTTTGCTGATTTTTTTTTTTTTTTTTTTTTTTTTTTTTTTTTTTTTTTTTTTTTTTAATGGATGTAGCTACTTTTAAATCACTTAAATCTGTCTTTTAAAATGGAAAAGAAATAAAGATTTGTGCAAATGATGGAACCTGGCTCTCTCTCCCTTAATGATATGCTTACCTGTGTGCCTTACGTTTAGATTTCATTTCCCCGAACTAGATTTGGGGTGGCGTTGTTGCAGCAACACATCATAAAACTTAACATTTCCCGGAGTGTTGAACCCCTCGGTTGCCACACTTGTATTATCCTACTTCTTGTGCCTGAAACAAGTACAAAGTTCCTTGTGGCTTTGACATTTCATACTTCAACAGACGTGCCACAGCCAAACTCCTGTCACAAAGCAAAAATGTCAGAAGACTTAGGGGTGAGAAAGTGCATTTTATGAATGGCCTGAGAAATGAAAGGTTGACTCTTCAGAGCCCGATCACAGCGCAGACCTTTGGTGTATTCTCAGCTCCTGCTCCAGCATTAATGAGTTTTAAATGAGCACGCCAGGCCCTCAGACACATGTGAGGAGCACTAAACCCATTAGAAACACTGGGAGCTGGTCCAAAAAAGCCCAACCGCCCATCGCCGCAGGCTCAGGTTTTATGAATTACTGTTGGACACGTTCAAATGACTGCCTTGCCTGTTAAAATAAAACTGATGAATATTGTAACATGGATAGTTCACTCCACCGTCCAGATGGAGGTGCCACACAGAGACAATTTTCGAACACATTTTCCTGACAGTTTCAACATTTGCTAAACAAAATAGAGGTGCTGACATTCATTTCATTAGTCTAATCATAACCATTGTGTAATTTGGACACGTTTTGGCTCATTAAGTGTTGTTTATTTCCTCTTGTAAATGAGAGCTTGCTCCCTCCCTCTATAAATGAAGAAATGATTACACTTGCTTGGTGACAGATCTCAAATTGCTTGCGGTATCAATCTTTGTGAAATTGTTTTTGGGTTTTGTGTTAAATGTGATTTTAGAGACAAAAGATGCAAACTGGTCTGTGACAATAATCTGATATATTTACATAAGATACACGTGTTCATTAATTTAAAAAAAAATGGAAAAAAAGAAAAAAAAAAAACTAGGCAAGGTCTTCAGTATAATATAACAATGCTCAATATGTTATGCTTTGTAATGTGTTATGTGTCCCTGAGCCTCTAATGCAGGGGTGTCAAACTCATTTTCACCAAGGGCCACATCTGGATCATGTGTGTCATCAAAGGGCCGGTTGTAAAGTTCAAACTGCAACTGTAGCTGTAATATCAGTATGTTACAAAACTGTAAAAATCTGTATTTGATTTTTCATTTCATATATATTTATTTTGTTTATTTGTATGTTTTTTGTTTTTTGTTTTTTTTTAACCTTTTTAATATTTACTGGTATTCTTGCTCTTATTTGATTTGACTAGTTTTATTGTCTTAATGAGGATTAGTAGAGTTAATAAGAGCTTTACTTTATATTTCTATTGGACATGTTTTATCTGTTTTGTGCAGCACTTGGGAAACTGTTTTGTTTATGAAATGTGCTGTAGAAATAAAATGGATTTGATTTGATTTAAAGGTTTAAGTTAAAACATTCACGACTCCTTCAGTAACATTCATGAAATAGCCGTCCCTTCTGCATCAATTTTTCTTTTCTTGGATATTTTTGGGGAAATTTGATGATGTTTTTCTTAGCCTCTCTAGTGGCGAGATGCAGTCACTTCACGGGAAACAGCTGCGGTGCATTGTGGGAGATGTAGTAGAGGCACACAGTCACAACATAATAATAAATTATACCTTTTAACCCCTTGTGGGCCACAGAAAATGGCTTGGAGGGCCGGATGTGGCCCGTGGGCCTTGGCCTTGACACATGTGCTCTAATGGGTAACCAACTTATCGCCAAGTCAACTATGTGCTTTAGTAGGGGACTTTATACAACGCTAATAATAACAACCATGGGGTTATGTCCTTGAACCGTCACCTTATCGTGGTGGAGGGGTTTGAGTGCCCGAATGATCCCGGGAGCTATGTTGTCGGGGGCTTCATGCCCCTGGTAGGGTCACCCAAGGCAAACAGGTCCGGGGGGACGGGTCAGACGAAGAACGGTTCAGAAGCCCCTATGATGAGTGTACGAGCAAGGCCAGTTACGTCGCCCGGATTGGCGTCACCGGGGCCTCACCCTGGAGCCAGGCCTGGGGTGGGTGCTCGCCAGCGAGCGCCTGGTGGCCGAGCCTCCCCCCACGGGGCTCGGCCGGGCTCAGCCCGAAGGAGCGACGTGGGGCCGTCCTCACGTGGGCCCACCACCCGCAGGAGGATCCATATGGGGCCGGTGCAGAGAGATCTGGGCAGCAGTCGACGGCGGGGGCCTCGGCGACCGGATCTCCGGACATGGAGACTAGCTCTGGGGACATGGAATGTCACCTCGCTGGGGGGAAGGAGCCTGAGCTTGTGCGGGAGGTTGAGCGTTACCGACTAGATATAGTCGGCCTCACCTCCACGCACAGTTTGGGCTCTGGAACCCAACTCCTTGAGAGGGGCTGGACTCTCCATTTCTCTGGCGTTGGCCGCGGGGAGCGGCGGCGGGCTGGTGTGGGCCTGCTCATTGCCCCACAGCTCAGCCGCTGTGTGTTGGAGTTCACCCCGGGGAACGAGAGGGTCGCGTCCCTGCGCCTTCGGGTCGGGGACAGGTGTCTCACTGTGGTGTCGGCCTACGGGCCGAACAGCAGTGCTGAGTACCCGGCCTTCTTGGAGTCCTTGGGAGGGGTACTAGACAGTGCACCGACCGGGGACTCCGTTGTTCTCCTGGGGGACTTCAACGCCCACGTGGGCAACGACAGTGACACTTGGAGAGGGGTGATTGGGAGGAACGGCCTCCCCGATCTGAACCCGAGTGGTGTTTTGTTATTGGACTTCTGTGCTAGTCACAGTTTGTCCATAACAAACACCATGTTCGAGCACAAGGGTGTCCATAAGTGCACGTGGCACCAGGACACCCTAGGCCGGAGGTCGATGATCGACTTTGTCGTCGTGTCATCTGATCTCCGGCCGCGTGTCTTGGACACTCGGGTGAAGAGTGGGGCTGAGCTGTCAACTGATCACCACCTGGTCGTGAGTTGGGTTCGCTGGCGGAGGAGGAAGCCGGAAAGACCTGGCAGGCCCAAGCGTGTAGTGAGGGTCTGTTGGGAACGTCTGGCGGAGCCCTCTGTCAGAGGGACCTTCAACTCGCACCTCCGGGAGGACTTCTCCCGGATTCCGGGGGAGGCTGGAGATATGGAGTCCGAGTGGGCTTCATTCTCGGCCTCTATTGTCAATGCAGCTGCTCGGAGCTGTGGGCGTAAGGTCTGTGGTGCCTGTCGCGGCGGCAACCCCAGAACCCGGTGGTGGACACCGGAAGTAAGGGATGCTGTCAAGCTGAAGAAGGAGTCCTATCGGGCCTTGCTGGCTCGGGGGACTCCTGAGGCAGCTGACAGGTACCGGCGGGCCAAGCGTGCTGCAGCCCGTGTGGTCGCGGAGGCAAAAACTCGGAGCTGGGAGGAGTTCGGGGAGGCCATGGAGAAGGACTATCGGACGGCCTCAAAGAGATTCTGGCAAACCGTCCGGCGCCTCAGGAGGGGAAAGCAGTTCTTCACCAACACTGTTTACAGTGCGGGGGGAGAGCTGTTGACCTCGACTGGGGACGTTGTCCGGCGGTGGAAGGAATACTTTGAGGATCTCCTCAATCCCACCGTCACGTCCTCCGAGGAGGAGGCCGAGGCTGGGGACTCAGAGGCGGACTCATCCATCACCCTGGCCGAAGTCACTGAGGTGGTTGGCAAGCTCCTTGGTGGCAAGGCTCCGGGGTTGGATGAGATCCGTCCTGAGTACCTGAAGTCTCTGGATGTTGTGGGGCTGTCTTGGCTGACACGCCTCTTCAACATCGCGTGGCGGTCGGGGACAGTACCTCTGGACTGGCAAACCGGGGTGGTGGTCCCTCTGTATAAGAAGGGGGACCGGAGGGTGTGTTCCAACTATAGGGGGATCACACTTCTCAGCCTTCCCGGTAAGGTCTATGCCAGGGTACTGGAGAGGAGAATCCGGCCGATAGTCGAACCTCGGATTCAGGAGGAGCAGTGTGGTTTTCGTCCTGGCCGTGGAACACTGGACCAGCTCTACACTCTCCATAGGGTGCTCGAGGGTTCATGGGAGTTTGCCCAACCAGTCCACATGTGTTTTGTGGATCTGGAGAAGGCATTCGACCGTGTCCCTCGTGGTGTCCTGTGGGGGGTGCTCTGGGAGTATGGGGTCCGGGGCCCTTTGCTAAGGGCTGTCCGGTCCCTGTATGACCGGAGCAGGAGCTGTGTTCGCATTGCCGGCAGTAAGTCAGACCTGTTCCCGGTGCATGTTGGACTCCGCCAGGGCTGCCCTTTGTCACCGGTTCTGTTCATTGTATTTATGGACAGAATTTCTAGGCGCAGTCAGGGGCCGGAGGGGGTCCGGTTTGGGGACCACAGGATTTCATCTCTGCTGTTTGCGGACGATGTTGTCCTGTTGGCTTCATCGAACCAGGACCTGCAATGTGCACTGGGGCGGTTTGCAGCCGAGTGTGAAGCGGCTGGGATGAAGATCAGCTCTTCCAAGTCCGAGGCCATGGTTCTCGACCGGAAAAAGGTGGCTTGCCCTCTCCGGGTGGGTGGGGAGTCTTTTGCCTCAAGTGGAGGAGTTCAAGTATCTCGGGGTCTTGTTCACGAGTGAGGGAAGGACGGAACGTGAGATTGACAGGCGGATCGGTGCAGCTTCGGCAGTGATGCGGTCGCTGTATCGGACCGTTGTGGTGAAGAGGGAGCTGAGTCGAAAGGCGAAGCTCTCG